CAAACTATCTACATAGGCAGATGCAAGGGCGTCACTTTGTGTTGAAAAGTGGGACATAAAGGCTGACATTAGGGGCGTGATAATACATTTGGATCATGAGCCGTAACGATGCACGAGAACTAGACAAGAAGATTTTTTTGCACTATTTAGATGTGGAAATGTTGGGGGGGGGAGGGTTGAGCATTAATCTGGTTATTTCCTGCTTTCTGGAGACATTTTCTCCTCTTCTGCTCCAATTTATGGAAATGTCTGTTTTTTATATGTTGCATTGCATGTTTTCTTATTGTGCAAATCAACCTTTCTCAAAGCATTTTCATTATTTAACATTTCTTGGACAAAATCAACCATTTCAAAATGTGGTGGGGACATGTCCCCAGCGTCCCCAGTGTAAATGACACATATGGGCAGATGCCACTATAACGATTGAGAAAATGTACATCCTGTGAGAATAGACAGACAGTCCGACACAGCACATCACTCAGTTCGGTTTTGGCTTTTCCTGGTTATAAATAGAATTTACAGGCCTAATTCCATTTTCCCCATTGTCCTAACAATCCATGGACAGGAGGGACATAACAGGGAAGTGAAGAAACAGTTAATGAGAGAGAGAGAGAGAAAGAGAGATTAAGTGACTATGAATGCTCTGATTAATAAATGTAAATAAATAATGCTTTCTTTAAGGTTACAGTTTAGTTTTAACAGTTAGCACCTCGACGTTGTCCAATGTGCTTCATACATTGTTGTTTTTTGATGTGTTCCAGTTTCTCTCCTCCTGACCCGCCGGACCAGCAGCCTTTGTGTTCCAGGACCTCCTGATTTATAAATTAAGCACTGTTAAATTTAGCAAACTTGCTTAAATGCATTAAACCCTTTTAATGCATGAATTATTAAATCACAATGTCATTTTTTAATCTTAATTTTTTTTTACTTGATGATGCCTATAAACTTTTCTCAATATGTTTTATTTTGAAATGTGTCCACTGCAGTGGACACCATGCATCAATGGCAAAAAAACATGAAAACATTTAAAAAAACTATATATGAATATATATAGTTATTCAAGTGCAAATTACATAATTTAAAATAAAATATAAAATAAGGCAGAATTTACATATTTTAGTATAATATTACATAAATTAGATATTGATCCTTTTATATGAGTATTAATCCTAGAGCATGAAATGTTGGAATCAGAAATATCGATACTTCACACTATCAATATCACGATATGATCTGCACATCACTAATTTTAACCTTGTACAGCCCTCTTTTTTCTGTTTAAGATGCAGCATGAATTTGCAGAGAATCTGTGTTTGTTGAATGTAGTGACACAGAACTTGTGATGAAGTGCAGAGTCTATGGGGTTAGGAACAGTCCATACTTGAGCTAGGCAGGGAATCACGTAGAGTCCAGAGATCCAGGAGCAGAAGGTCAGTATCTAGGCCAAATAGGAGAGGAGCAGAGGTCTGGACAAGGTGACTGTAAGGCACAGCGAACAGGTATTAGTGAAAGCTATCTAATACTCAAGGTAGCAAGAACTTTGCTAGACCGTGACTGCCATGGTAGATTAGTCTATGATCTGGAGTGTTTAGACAGGAACCAGGTATTTGAAATAGAGCAGACTGAAGATGATTGGCAGCTGGGAACCAACTCCTTGTTAGGAGTATGGTTTTGTGTTCATGTCTTTTCTGTTTTCGTCTGTTTTTTGGATTCTGTGTTCCTATAGCTTTATTTTATCTTGTCATGTTTTGAATTTTGTAGCTAGTCTAGTCCTTTGTGTATTCACATGTTTAAGTTTTCTTAGTATCTGTTTTGTCTCATATTCTAGTTATGTCCTGCATTCTCATCCGTGTCTTAGCGTATACTCTTGGTCCTGTGTTTTAGTTATTTGTCTTTGTTCCCAGTCCTGTGCCTTGGTTCATGTTTTAGTATTTACTTCAGGTTCCTTGTCTGCATTATTTTAGTTTAGTCTGCTCGTGTCTGAGTTAGTTTGTTTTTGTGTTTTCTTGATCTGTGTACTTCTGTGTTTTACCATTATGGTCTGTCTTAGTCCTTAGTCTTATTTCTCCATGTTTTAGTGTAGTCTTGTCTCCCGTTTGGTCCCGTCTCTGTCCGTGTCCTGATTTTGCGGTCTTTCCATGTTTTGTGTTTTACTTTGGTAGATCTGTCCTTGTGTGTTCCTGTGAACTTTACTTCCTGTTTTATTTTGATAATCTTCTGTATCTGGTGTCCTTGTCTAGCTTTGTTTGATTACCTGATGTATCTCAGCTGTGCTTCCCCTCCCTACTCGTTTACCTGTGTATATTGTTCTCAGTTGTCTTCAGTCTTTGTCATGTCCTTGCATCGTCTGTGTCATCTATGTTGAGTGTTTTCCCATACTTTTTGGATCTTTGGATGGTTCCTTGTTTTTGGATTTTGTTTCTGTTGGAGTTACCTCTGTTTGGATTCTTGCTACGAGCTCCCGTGGAAGCCGTTTTGAGTTAATAAATAATTTTGAACTGCATCCTCCTCTCGCCTCGCCTGAATCTGCATTTGGGTCCACACCTCAGCCCTCAGCCTTCACTCAGCCGACTCTTGACAACTCCTGCAGCGCTGACTCGACTCCTGTCATTAGAACACAACCACACACTCACACGCCCAGGTAGGGGGAGAAACAGAGCAACTCCCCACCAGGCAGAAACAAAGGGCATGACATATTCAAATAAAAAAAAAATGTTCTCCCCCATCTTCCCACCTCCTGTTATATTATAATACTGTTTGGTTCTTATGTTTTATGGAAGTGTATAGTGGACTAATTTCAAATTATCATGCAAAAAATAAAATGTAATCCCACCATAACATTATCATTTTCCACATGTGTATGTGTTATTTAGGTGAAAATGAAAATGCAATCATCCAATTTTCATTTTCACATACTTGTGTGAACATTGTAGGACCACATTAAAATGAAAATGGAAACAGCATCTGACATTTCATTTTCAAAGACTTAACCTGCTCTAAAATGGACATTATTCAATTGCAGTTAGCAAAACAGCCCCCAGCCTATTGCATTTACATGTCCATGTCCTCATAGTGTTTTTAGGTCAAAAATGAAATTAAAATGCCATTTTCTAACTATGTGAAAATGAGAACTCTGATTCATAGTGGACTTTATTCAAATGCAATGAGTGAAACAGCGCCCCCAGTCTGTTGCATTGCATTTACATTTACAAGCAGCTTTCCAAGGGACACAATGCAAATGAAAATGCAATCTGTCAGTTCTCTCATCAAGGCAGGTCCTCAGTTAAGACGTCACTTCCTCTTCAGTTGGAAGGCCACTTCAGGTTCTCATGGTTCAGTTGTGTATCTACCATTACACAACACTAGGCTGTAACTTCACAACCAAATGAGATCTATCAACCGAACAGCTCAAGGGTGGATCTATACCGACTTCAAATTTGGAACCTGTCATTTTAACCGTTTTTATGTTACCATTTTATTTTTTTAACACTTGCCTGTTGAACTTGGTGTTAGCATGTTCTGCAGCTAATGTAGCTAACTGTAACGTCAACTGTATCTAGCGTGTATTGTGACATTAGGCCCACACTGCATTAGCCTATGTACGTTTACCTGGTAGATGCATAGCACGTGCAAAAAACGTTAACTTGCTTATACCCGAAAGCTGTAACATTAGCTGGGCAATGTCAAGCCCAGGCTAATAGAAACCCATTCTCATTCAGTTGCAGGAACAGTTAGTCTGTCTGTCATATCAACTCCATAGCTGTAACAGTTACAGCTATGAACAGTGCAAAACCGTTATCATAACCACACACTTGAGATGATATTGGACTAAGTGTTTCCTGCAGACAGGCCAGCAAAGGTTTTTCTTACCAACCTAACAGAAGACATCAGAGGACTCCTCACTCCTCCTCAAGTACAGGTTTGTACTTAACTGTTGAACTCATGTCAATACTGCTATTTATGTCTCTGACATGTTGTTAGCTTAGTATCTATGCATTAACTCTCACCATAAATATACACTGTCTTATGACATGCTGTAAGTTACCATGTCAGCACAACTGAAGGTTACTGATCTTACAAACTCTTATGTATGTTATGAATGATTACTCGGACGTTCCTTGTAGTTTATTCCTTGTGGTAAATATATGAAGTAATATTTTATGACCTTGTAACTCACTAAATATTCCCATCATAAATTGTTATATGTTTTACATTTATGTTATATGTTTTTATGTCTGCAACCTTGTTAATTGTGCTGCTGCCTGTCTTGACCAGGACGCTTTTGGAAAAGAGATTTTTAATCTCAATGAGTTTTCTTTCTGGTTAAATAAAGGTAAAAAAATGTACTTCCTCCTCCCTTCCCTTTCTATGTACTCACTAACCAAAGTATCTGCAGCTACTGTGTACAGTGTCCATTTTTCAGAGAAGTTTGGATATTTTTACAAGTTATTTGTCAGATAATTATTGCCATATGGTTTTAAAATTTTTCTGATTTCAGTTTTAGAGCATTTCATATAATTTATATTGTGATCTGTCAACACTATAATAAAGTTTGTGATATATAAGAATGTCTTCTCTTGCTTACAGACTAATTCAAGGTATAAGGTTGTTTATAAGTCATTATACAGCAGAAGGCTGCATAACGAAATTAAATTTGTAGTTCTGTCATGCTACACCCACAACATATAATTAAGTGTAGGCCTATATTAAAATATGGTCCGGGTGGATCATGGTCTGCTGCCCTTCAATCCAAAAACCCAGTCTTCATCTTCCAATGACTGTATTTATGTCAGAGGTAACGCATTTATTGGCAATAAGCTGGGAAAAGCAGATAAAAAACAAAAGTGTAGCAAAGTTTGAAGGGGCTACCAGCTGCTGGTTGCCATAGCAACTTTACGACAATTGGTAAAAGTTTTTCATAAACCCTTTGTGATAACATGATATCTCTTTAATACCACATGTCCCATAATAGTAAATTTAAAAAAACCTTAACCAAAACCTTAAAAATAAAGCACTTTATTCATGGTGAGTGAAATGGAAATATAAATTGGATATTTATAATGCACAAAGTAGCAAAACCTGTATAAAACCTTTATACAGAAACTGTCCAGATCATGTCCCATCCGGTTCACAGTGGTCATCATGATGCATCTTTCCTGACTTTCCTGATGCTGCTGGCCGCTGTGTTGTCTTCAGGCCTTTGCTTGACTGAAGCATGACATCTGCCCAGCAATAACTTCCTCTTCTAATGGTTTCTCACACTGTGAGGTGAGTCTGATGGGTCCAGGAACACCTCAAACATGAATTTCATCAGGTCACTCAGATGATCTGTAAAACACAACAGAGTCACTGTTACTTTAAAACCAAACTCCTGAGTAGAAGAGGCCCAGTTCATCCTGAGTGACAGCCAGTGCGCTGCAGCAGCACCAATCAGAGTGCAAGCATTTGTATTTAAACTCAAACTTATTATTTCTTGTTTGCTTGCTGGAATTCAGAAGATAATGTTTTAATTAAGAAATGGACTCTTGTGGAGATTTGAGATAATGACTTAATTATTGGTGGCTGAACTGTGGGATTTGTAATGAACACTGACTGCAACACACTGTGATGAACTTTGTGTTTCTTGTAGGTACTGATGATTTATTATTTCATTCCTTGACTTGACTCTTAATTTAACTTTCAGAGAAATGATGTGATACTTCCACTATTTACTTACTTACTTTACTGTCCCTTTCAAATCTGCATCCAACATGGCTGACAGATAAAGTAATACTAATATATTCATCTAGGGCTGCACATAATGATTGTTTTTAGAATCATTTAATCTAACGATTATTTTTTCAATTAGTTGATTAATCTAATGAATGATTTCTGTGTATTCTAAAGGGGGGAAATGTAGCCTATTACACAATTAATTAACAATTTATCCAAAATAAATATCAAAAACAAATTAATTAATAAATCAATATTTTATTCAATCATTCTTAGAATAATGGTAATAGTAGCATAAATTAATCCAATTTCCACATCACTGTCATGGTAATAATAACTATAACAGACATTAATTAGGCTTCTTTACCTAAAACTTTAAATGTTTCTGACCTGGATTTATTTCAGTATTCAGTAATGCAGTATAATAATGAAATGTCTGCATCAGTGTGGGGCAAAGAAAACAACTGAAACGATTCACAGACAGTACAAACACAGATTCTTTGTAATGTTAGATTCAGCTGTTTTCTTGCTCCTATGTGGCTGTTAAATAAACAGAAAATATGAAACGGCCAAACATTAGGTGACACACAGTGTAACGTTATGTTATCATGAGAGCAGCAGGGCAGAAATGACTTTTAACATGAAAGCGATGAAGAAAAAAGTAACGTTACACAGGATTTACGGTGCTGCCGTTGCCGTCTAGACAAAGTGCTCAACGATCCTTTTGCTTCACATTTTCGTGGACAGCAGTTGCGTTGCAGTAAAGCCATTTCCAATTCACAGAGCTCACGGAGCAGCACGTTGTTGAGTGTCTGTCTAAATACTCCGAAAAGATAAAAAGTAAATTTTTAGACCCTGGTAGTGACTGTCATTAAAATATGTGTTGTGTGTCTCTCTATCTCTCTCTCTGAGAGAAAGGGGCGAAGGACGTAATAATCTTCCTGTTTACACCAGCACGAGCATGCCCAGTGTATGTGTATGGCCACTAGATGTGCATTTTTTAGTCTATTTAATACAGACGTAGATCAATTCTGTACGCAGCTAAAACGCTTGTGTGGACGGTTAAAACTCCCTTTTTAAATGAAAACGTAGTAGTGTAGATGTAGCCTCAGAAAAGATTCACACACTGATTTAGAATGTTTGTTTCAGAAAATAAACTGGCAAGTAATACACACACACACACACACAGATATGAGTAACTCACAACATGATGGTCGACTTTCTCAAAGCTGTGACCACGTCTGCAGGGTCATGTGTAGCATCCCGCTTTCCCCCTCCTTATCTTTCAGGTCTAGACAAGGTCTCGTTATTGGTGTGGATGTTAGAAAGGCCTGAGGAGCTGCATAGGGAACAGTGGATGTGCCAACACAAAAGTCTTTTAAGGACAGCAATTTTACAAAATTACAAAAAAACGGCGTATGGGCCTAATGTCACAATACACGCTAGAAACAGCTGATGTTACAGTTAGCCACATTAGCTGCAGAACATGCTAACACCAAGTTCAACAGGCAAGTGTTAAAAAAAAACAGAAAGCAACATAAAAATGGTTAAACTGACAGGTTCCAAATTTGAAGCCGGTGTAGATCCACCCTTGAGCTGTTCGGTCGATAGATTTCATTTGGTTGTGAAGTTACAGCCTAGTGTTGTGTAATGGTAGATACACAACTGAACCATGAGAAACTGAAGTGGCCTTCCAACTGAAGAGGAAGTGACGTCTTAACTGAGGACCTGCCTTGATGAGAGGACTGACAGATTGCATTTTCATTTGCAGCTGCTTGTAAATGTAAATGCAATAGACTGGGGGCGCTGTTTCACTCATTGCATTTGAATAAAGTCCACTATAAATCAGAGTAAGTCTTTGAAAATGAAATGTCAAATGCTGTTCTCATTTTCACATAGTTAGAAAATGGCATTTTAATTTCATTTTTGACCTAAAAGGACCATGAGGACATGGACATGTAAATGCAATAGACTGGGGGCTGTTTTGCTAACTGAAATTGAATAATGTCCATTTTAGAGCAGGTTAAGTCTTTGAAAATGAAATGTCAAATGCTGTTTCCATTTTCATTTTAATATGGTCCTAGAATGCTCGCACAAGTATGTGAAAATGGAAATTGGATGATTGCATTTTCATTTTCACCTAAATAAAACACGATAATGATAATATTGTTGTGGGATTATATTTTCAAGTTTGCATTATAATTTGAAATACTCCATTGTTATCAAGTGTTGATTCTCACCAACCTCCTTGTAGTGTTGTCAAATTATTTTGATACCTATTGATTAAAAATATTTTAAACGGTTAACGGCTAACAGAAGGCGCTAACAGAACCAATTGAGCAAAGCACCTGCAGGACTGACATTGACCTCTATAAAGAACCTCAAGAGGTTGGAGATGTCTCCCCTTTGAACATCACTGAAGTATTAAAGAGGTTGGCCCATTAAACTGTTGTTGAAAAGCTAGTTGTCTTGTTGTTCCTTTCTTGTGCCTCCTCCATCCTCTTCTCCTAGGACACTGTCAGCTCCAGTAAGATGAGCTGCCTTGTGGCCTCAGAGACCAAGATGATGTCTGGTCTCACCGTTGACTCTGTGATATGTGGTGGTATTCTTAGCTGCCTCTCCAGGTCAAAGGTCATCACCCAGTCTTGTGCCGTGGCAAGCATAGTTTGGACTTTATAATATATTAAAAATCCAATGAAAATACTAACAATAAAAATAAAATTGATGATGCTGGACTCATGCCGGGGCAGCTGCTTTATTCCAAATGATCTGGCTACATCACTTGACTCTAACTCAGATCCTTCGCTCCCCCTCTCTGCTCTCCAGCTGTGTCGGTCCAGCCTCTTTTTGATATCTCCCTCTCTGCCACATTTTGCCACCTAATCTCTCACAGTCCTCTTTTTTAATGTGTCCTCTTCTCATGGCCTTTGTTCAGATTGACACTAGTACACTCTACTTCTGCCCTTTCCCTATCACTTTCTCCTTTCCTCTTATCTACTCCGTTTTCACCTCCCAGCTCATATCTGACCTCTACACACCTTGCCTTTATTGCTCCTGTACCCTAGTGCTTTGAATTAAGGCAGGTTTTGCCCTTGAGTTATCTGCATAATGTTTGAGTGTCATGGAGTTAGACTTGCCACATTAAGCCTCCATGACATCTCACCTTCCTTTAAAGCTGTCGAGAGACATGAATTATGGTTTAGTGAATGCTGTAAGACCATAGTCTATGCAGCATAGAGGGTGAGGTTAGTTAACCATACACAGTTATTCCATGACCTACTTTCTCATAAATAGTGATATTGTGTGATATAATGCAACTTAACTATAGGCTGAGACTTAACAACAAAGCTACAGAAAGGAGACAGTTAGTTTGGCTTATTTATTTATTTCAGGTTTATTTAACAGGGACAATGCGCATTAATAATATATAAATAAATGTGTAATGTGTTAGAATTAGCCAAAAGGCTATTTTACTGCTGTCCCTGGACAGATGGTAATAGTCACACCTAAAAAGATAAAAGGATTAAAATAGTACATACAGATTAAGCCCAATACAAGTAAAATAAAATTGACTATAAATGTATAAAAATTTAGACCAACATAGAAACAAGAACAGTGGGTCAATATCAACATCACCACCAGCACACACATACACACACAAGCCGAACTGTCAGTCCATATAACCAACATGGTATAATAGCAACAATATACATTTTTGCACATGCACAAGAAACAATACAGCTGTGACACTAATAAACAACAGAGGTTTAACCTAACTAAACAAAAGTGCTTAGCATAAAGACTTGAAGCTGGGGGACATATTAACTAGCCTGGCTCTGTTCAAAATTTAAAAAATCTACCTATGCCACCTCTAAAGCACATTAATTAACATATTTAACTTTTGGACATAGCTAGCTAATCATCTCCTGGCTGTAGCTTCATATTTAGTGTAGTCTTTTCTCATCTACCTCTTGGCAAGAAAGTGATTATTCTTCCTTTAAGGTTACATACGTCTTTTAAATAAAATCACTTCACACAGTCACTTTGATACTACATGCCCATTTGTCTTTTTTGCCAGAATGACAGAAAACGTTCTATCTTCCTCTGACGTCTCTTTTCCTGCACCACCTTTCCTTCCTGTAATCAAGTCAGCTCAGTCTATCATATTGCTAGCATGGGAGCTTAATAAGAGGATAACAGGATGTCCCTGATAGTGCCGCCATGACATTACTGAACCTTTTAATTGTGTATTTTCACCAAATACTGTTCTGTGTCCGTTATGTATTTCACCTGTTACGTGTTGCGTCATCTAATAAAAAATAAAAATAAAACAACAAAACATTTCAACTTTTTTTTTTTATGTTATGTTGCTAGCAACAGCTGCAGAAAGTACAGATCCTGAAGTAAGACCGTTATTCACTAACAGCTCTCAAACCTGGAGAAGAAGGTACCGTCTCTGCTGTTCTTAACGAGAAGAGGGTATCTGCTGAAGCCCTAAATTCTCAATTTATATAAGTTGACTCCCCTGTTAGGATCCGATCCGAGAAAGCTGCATTACCAAACAAAGTGAGGCATCAAATTGCAATCACAAGCGGTTCAAGTAACAGGCTTTTGTATGTATCTGGGCAGAGACTAGGTTTTATAACTGTATTAATGTAACCTGAAGTTTAATTTGTGGTGATTTTGTGGGGTATATGGCATATTGTGTCCTGTTAATTGCTGTGTATTTCCGTGTTTAGCACATTATACGGTTCCACCAGAAAGTATTCACAGTTCTTAAGTTACAGCGTTATTCCAAAATTAATGAAATTCCTTATTTAGAGTGGCCAGACAGAAGCCACTCCTCAGTAAAAGGCACATGACAGTTTGCCCATAGGCACCTGAAGGACTCTCAGACCATGAGAAACAAAATTCTCTGGTCTGATGAAACAAAGATTGAACTTTAGCCTGAATGGCAAGTGTCATATCTAGAGGAAACCTGACACCGCTCATCACCTGGCCAATCCCATCCCTACAGTGAAGCATGGTTGTGCTAACTGATCTGTACTGACACTAAATTAATTAAACTGACCTAAATTCTTACTATAATTTTAAGGAGTCATTGCCTGTAGTGTTTATATAGATACTTCCTCTCTATTGAAATTGAATGTGATGTATAGGAATAATTGGAGTTCTGGATAAAACCCATTGCATGGCATGAAAAGTTCCTTAAAGTTACCATGAATCAGAAAGCAGAGTGCTATTTGCTTCATCATATTTACGTGTTTCATGTAAAAATACAAAACTAGGGAGGGACCTGTCGTGGATATTGATTGCCTTTTACAGTAGCGAATATGCATTAAATGTGCATTACGTCCCCACTTACCAAAAGGCAAGGCAAGCTAGCTGCTATAATGTTGGAAGCAACCGTGTTGTGGAGGGTGCTAAAAGTGGTGGTTGGTGGTGTTTTTTATCACGTTTTGTCACGTTTTGTATTTAAAAAAGCAAGGTCTTAATGTGAATTATTTTAGGGTCAACTAACAGTTTATACGCCTCATGCTGTTCACTCATTCATTCATAAATATATTTTTGAATGTTTTATTAAGGCTGTCAAAACACATTCAGAATATATGCAGCTAATAATGAAAAACAGATTACAGGTTACAGATTAGTTTAAACAGTGATTACTGCAGTAATGTAGCCCACAGTAATTGTTTTCAGTGCAACTGTCACAGTGTTAGGTTATACCTAAAGACGGACATCCGCAGGAGGGGAGAAGTCAGAGAGAAACTGACGGTTTTCAAACTGTTCCAGCATCATTTGCCGGAGTTACTGATCTAGAGTTTATCTGATCTTGCTCTCTGAAACAGAAAACCTAGAGTTTCCCTCATCTCAGGCTTAATATTTTCATTGATCTCACTTTCTGAAACAGGACCCTGGCGTATTACTATTTCAAACACTGTTTATTTTAATCAAGGCATGGTATCAAATTACAAAAGTGATTGGATTGCTAGCTTCCTTCAAAATTCCTCCGTCAAAATTTACAGTTTTTCAGCGAGGCCTACGTGAGGAACGTCATCGCCAGGCGGAGCCAATCAGAGGCAGAGTAGGGCAGGTCATGCCTTCACCATAGTAGGATTCGCAAATTTGTGGACAGTTATGGCTGAGTTTTAGCTACTCAGTTGTTCAGCCTCTGTACATTCTAGCAAAAAGAAACCTGCCTACTCAGTAAAAACATTTGACTACTTGTTTTCACTGAAATATGACATTTCATGTGCAACCTTGCTATGACATTGATGTTCTGCCAGTATTTATATTAAGCAACTTTATTTTTAGTGACCGGCATTTTTTTTGTCTTTGCATTTTAAAACTGAGCCTTTATGTATGTGCACATACATTAGCAGGGGTATTTTTAGCAGAAACTCCACAGAGGTCTGTGTCAAAAATGGTTCACACAACCATGACGACCCTTAGACCTCCGGGGGGGGGGGGGGGGGGGGGGTGAAGTCTGGTGGAAAACTGAGGCGTGCACCATAACATCATTAATAAGTGGATGTTCTGAGGACTAGCAGGGGTTAAAACCATTAAAGACTGGGTTATGTGAAGGATCAACACCACATACTCTAACACATGACATTTTGGGTATGTTGAGACGCAGGGAAATGGCGTGAGCTGGTAGCTGAAGATTGCATAAGCAGACAGATCACAGCAGCGTGCCGTGGCTAGTCATTTCA